ACGAGACGAGACGAGACGAGACGAGACGAGACGAGACGAGACGAGACTAGACTAACAACAGCAACAAGGAACGACCAAAAACAGCAACACCGAGGTCTACTAAGTCTACTACAGCCAAAAGATGTCTTTTTGGCGCCGCCAATGTCCCTCCTTGAGAGGTCTTCTGCAGAGCGGCAGGCGACACCAGGTGATGGAAGGCAAAAGCACCTGTCTCAAGAGACCTGCTCTCACCTCCAAGTTAGGCCGGTGATGTGTCTCAGGGGTGGAGGATGATCCTTCTGGGAAAGGGCAGGTGTCCCAACCCACATCGATAGGCTTTACTTAGGTAGCTCGTGAGGACCATTTTCCAAGCGGTTGCCTATGAGGTCAATTGGCTCACACTAATCCTTGATCTGAGACCATTCCCAACCAACGGACGTCGCAAAACCATTGAGACGTCAGCCTGGCCACTGAGTCCTTCCGACCGCTTCCGTTGCACGTTGCGCTGGAGCTCCGTCTGCTCCTCCTGAGGGAAATCCGACCCGGACCCGGCGGACCCAAAACGGATCTTGCTTCTGCTTGCTTCCCATGTTCAAGCAATGTGGTGTCAATGTCTGACAGTCTTGTGCTCAGCGCTCCCTCTAAGCTGCACATCGAAACTGCAGCAAACCCACTCCTTGATTGCCACGCACCGCTGCTGACTTCGTGTGGGGCAGTCTGAAGCGGCGGCCTGGTCGTTTTCTTGCCTCGGGATTTGCAGAAAAAGAGTCCCCAAACCAGACCGAGTCCTGGAATTGGGGAAGCCAAGATCTGTAGTGGCACACCAGCCAAAACAGTAGAGGATCAACAAATTGGCCCTAGGCCTTTTTAGGATCTTCAGTTCCAGATGGAAACTTGTTGGACCGCACTCTGGGGCCAACACTCAAGCCACAAGGCCTCTGACTCCAGCAATTTCAGCCGTTCGGCAGCTTCCTCCATAACTGCGTTTTTAGACCAAGCAGGCGGACAGAGGTTGGAACACACAACAACACACAACAACGTGTATCTTGGAAAAAAGCAGAACGACCTGTGTATCTTATCGGCAGCTGATTATATAAATTATATAGAAGCCGTCAGTTGTCACATCTACAAACTTCGACGAACCCTTTGGGGCAGAGCAGCATGCGATAGGTTCCACTGAACTGACTCGCCTGCTGCTCTGCCTGGTCCTTTGCAGCAATCTTCCTCACGGCGTAGGAACAGTCTTGCAGATTCAGTTTCAGCATGGTCTTCTGTAGCACTTGGGTCGCACATGTCGCACGGATTTCGTATGCAAACACGGTGGATTCAGAGTAGACGTCAAGCTCACCTTACCAGTTGCCGATGGGGATTCATACAAGAAACTACCCCGGGATCAAAAAACAGAAAGTGGAGAAGCTTGTGCGATCCACGATGCTGAGCTAGGGTCCTTCTGTAGTTCTTGTACTGCTCTCTCTTCTTTTGGAGTGCTTCCTGTTTCCGCAAATCCTCTTCCAAGCCTTGCGTGGCCTCAAAGCAGAAGGAGCTGCAAAGTCACAAGCAACCCCCACACAGAGAGTGTCAGCCATGTCCCAGGGTGTCCAACATTTGCACGTTTGCAAGGGAAGTCATGATATGTATATAATTGTAATTGTTACTGTTACAGTAGTTTTTGTGCATTTAGGCGAGCATCCATAGAGGTTCTGGGTGTTCCTGCCTCCAAGATTTTGATGTGTTCATCCAGCTGCTGCTCCAAATGTTGCCAGCGAGAGGAGCCCGCAGTGCCTGTGAATAGAAGGTCGTGAGCAGGTGATGGCTCCAAAATAGATTTTTACGACTCTACGAAAGGGGAAAGCACAAAGTGGTTCAATGCCCACCGCCTCACTGCAAACACCTCCCTGCGTTGCCGCGTTGCTGCCACTTCATCCACATCCGATCTGAAGCTACTTGAGCACACAAGACAAAAGTCCCCCCGAAATGCCCTGCTTTCCGCCTCGCTCGCCACACTCAGAGCTGGTGTAGCCGCGGCGCTCGCGGGGCTCCCGGGGCTCCCGGGGCTCGCGCTCGGAGGTCTTCCGGGCACCGACGGAGGGGACTCGGGCGCTGGGTTTCTGAACCACCTTCGCCTGGCACCGCAGGACACGAGGCAGACAGGGAATCAGCCTGAGGGACTTCTGGAAAAAAAACAAGAAGAAACAGATGGAAGGTTGAAGCTATGTGTTCAAGGTGCTGTCCGACATTTCATGTCAAATGCTTTCTGTGCAGAGGGTGCGGGTGCTTGCTCGGGCTCCCTCTCCCACAGAGTGGGCGGTCTGCGCCATCGTTTGCCGAGCTCGCCAGGCCTCCAAGTCTTTCACCTGGCCGAGCCGGTGTACGGCCGAAGCATCCCTACCTAGCCATCCAATCCTGCGGAGCCGAACTGGCTTCGAAGGGCTAATGGTCGTCGATTCCCTTGCACGATCTTCTCACCCGATTTGATCTCCCTGGGGTCAAAGCTTTACGGATTCTCGTGGCCAAGAAAACGATAGAAGAACGTCGTCACCTCTTCTTGAGGATCCCAACCCTTCACGCCTTCTGCCCTTCGCGAGTCAAGCGCCGACGGAGATCCTGGATCTGCTGCGCCTCTCTTCTGCGCTCAGCCTCCGACGCATTGAAAAGCTGCACCGGCGGACCAACTGGACAAAGAAAACTAGAACTAGAACTGACAATCTTTATTGAAGCAGAAACTTGCCAACATGTTCGATCCATCACAAACCAACGGCCCTCCTCACCCCCAAAACTCGGACTCACCCCCTCCTGGCCTGGAGCCTGCGGTCCAACTCTGCTTGGCTTTGTCCTTGGGAGTCACGGTTCAGCGTGGCTCTGAGTCCGGTGACTCGGGTCCCGCCCGGTGTCCTTCACGGGCCATGGCTCCCCGTCTATTACGGGGGTTTGCTGTGCTGCTCAGCTCAGCTTCCACAAGGGTCTGGGGGATGGTTTGTGGCTTTCTAGTTCCATCTGACCCCTCTGTTAGAGCCTCCCATGCCCAAGGACCCGAGCAGTGCCAAGCTACGCATCTGTGTCACTTCCACCTCCAAATCCTTCACCCTCTTTCGCTCATTGTGTCGCAGTTCCTGGCACACGTCTCCAGGGACGGCTCCGAAAAGCGCGAACTGCAATTGCCATGCATCACACGGAGAATCGTTCCTCAAAGAACTAGGGAGACCTGCAGGAAACCAGGAGAATCGAATAGACCCCTGCTTAAACATGTTTATTGCTCCCTTGCAGCCACGCGGAGCGAGCGAGTCCTACTCCTAACACCTCCCCCACTTGCCACGATCCCACGCCCCCATCCCGCCTTCAAGCGGGCGTACTCTTGCTGCTTTCGCTTCAGAGCCTCCACCTGCTCCGACACTTGCCTCTCCAGCCGTCGCTTCTCCTCTTCGTTCACCTGCCTGGGATTCCCGCAAGTCGCCGAGGAAGCCTGGTGAACCGGTGAACCGTTTAAAGCTTGGTCTCTCCAGTTCAGACGTCCCAGTTTCCCCAACACTTCCGGAGGTTGGTCCCTCCAATCAACCCCCACCCCACCCTAACGCCCTACCATCCTACCAAAGAACTGTCGTCCTTAGTCCTTCAAATGCTTGATGCTTAGTCTTAGTCCTTCATCTGAACCCTCGTAGTGCCATCACCACCGCCCGTCCCACCGCTGGCCTCGCTTGTTCTTCCAGCTTTTCTGACTCCTGCAGCCTCACCTGGATTGGCCAACCCTGGGGGGAAGACGGGTGCATCGATGTCGCGTCGATCTCCGACAAAGTGCTAAAATAGTTTATATCAATAGTTTCGAAAATCCAGAAGAGGGGATGGGCATGGGGATCGCGAAGTTTTGTACAAATTTTGTGAATGCATTGGTAGAAAAGTCAGTAAATATATTAAGTATGTACATGTGGGCCAGTGTTTCTTGGTCATGCTCTGTTTCATTGGGATGAGGACACCATCGTCCGCAAAAATGAAGAGTGGACCATGGTTGGATTTGGGACGTGCCTAAACAAAAGCACGCCCGGCCTTGACCAAGTCCAATTGGCGTTGAGTATCCTCGAGCTCGAGCTGCAGCTGCTCCATCCGGGCCTCGTTTTAATCTTGAACCCCTTTGACTGCCGCTGGTCTTGTGCAAGCGGTCGAGCAGAATGATCTTTGAAAGGTGTCGCGCACTGAGGTAAGCACACTTCTTGACTAAAAATACAAGCATCCAAAAGATCTGAAAGCCCTGCGGTTCATGGACCAAGTCCTGTTTTTACCCAAAACTACCGCCAAGCCCACAGGGCAAACGGAAGGCCCACCAGCAATCCACTCGGACATCGCTGGCCTGGTATTGCTTTCGTGCCAGGCCCCACTCTTGCTCGCTCCTTGTGAGCTCGGTGATGAGCTCCTCCTGAAACAGCACAACCACCTGGTTGGGCCTTGTGACTGGTGGAAGCTTGAAGATGCTTTCGCCATCCAAGTGAAAGTGGATGGAATATGTTATAGTCAGTATAAGTATAAGACTATATAGACTACACACCCACTGAAACAAGCCTCCTTCCCCCCAAAGTAACACCTTTGCCCTTCCAAAACTGGAGAGAACTAATCTCCCACATCTACTTACATATCTCTTCTCTGCGAAAAGGAGTTTATGGCATCCATGTCTCCCAACAAACAAGGCGCTGAAGTGCCATTCCCACTGGCCACCGCCCGCCTTCAGCAAGACATGTTGCTCCAAGGACTGCAGTTGCTCGCTGAGGTTTTGTTGTGATGCACGAGTGTCCTACGAGAATGCGGCTTGGAAAGCTCAACCAGCTGGGCACAACCGGACCTGGAACCCCCTGCTAGTAGCAAGGTGCCTTACTAGCAGTAACAGTAACAAGCTACTAGTAGTAGCGATGCCCTTGTTGCTAGTAAGGCACCCCTAAAATAAGTGCAATCTGACCTAAGCCAAGAATCCTGTGGTCGTACAGTGGCCTCACAGCCTCACAACTGAGCTGATGGTGCGTTTTGTTTTGAAATTCGACACGCTGTAGGGGGCTCTTTTCGGAAAAGGAGAGTGTTCAGCTGAGCAAAGGTCCGCAATGCTTGCAACGGACACAGATAAACAAAGGGTAGGATGGGCCTTTTGAAACCCTTCTTCCTTCCTCAAGCTGTCCACGATTTGTTGGCACTCTTCACTCCCAAGTGCAATCGATTTTCGAGGTCCTCCAAGTCTTGTGGCTTGGCTTCTTCTTCTTCAGGCTCCCCGCGAGCCATCTCCTCTTGAGCATCCAGTTCATCGCCTAGTCCCGCGAAAAGTCCCGTCGAACTCTCCAAACCTTTGATACTAGTATGCAGCACCAGCACAATGGCACCACTTGGCCCCAGAAGGACAGCCTGGACTCAAAACCTCGCACACCAACTTGAAACCAACTCCTCCAGCATCCCAGTGGGTGAGCATGCGGCATGTGTTTCACCATCTGGAACCTGTGGGCGAAACTTCATTGATTAAGGGCTGAGGGCCGAGGGCTGAGAATTTCCATTTTCATGTCATTCTAAACGCCTCTCCTCCTTTCCACTTGCTCCCGCCCAGTCACTGAGCTGTATGGCGAAGACGCTGGGGCCCTCCTTTAGGGTCTCCTTTTGGGGTGATGAGCTGGTCAGTTTCTCCTTCATCATCTCCTCCAAAACGGCGTTCCTCTCCTTCAACTCCTGAGCCGGGTCTGGCACCACGGCGAGTCTGCCCCCCTCCGCAAGCCAAGTAATCCCAGGTCACTCTGACTGAGCAAACGAATGAAAAGCAAATACCACTTGCTCAGGCAGTATCTTCACATCGCCAGCCCACCCCCCCACACCCCTAGCGGCCGTAGCAAAACATAGTCAGTCAGAGAGTCCTTCATTTCCTTCATCTTCTCCTCAAAAATCTCCTCGTCCTTCTGGAGATCATCCCTGGCCTCTTTCAGCTGATTATGGAGCTCCTTGTTTTGCCGCTTAAACTGTCCCAGGTCAGTCTCCAGTTGGCTGATCTGCTCCAGGTACTTTCGGATCAGGATGGTGGAGTCCTTCCGCATCTCGGTGAGGGACCTCAAAGAAGCCCCGAAAACAGGGATGATGTTCCAAACAACGTAACCTTGCTTCTAAAGCGATGCCCTTTGCTCCTAGTAGAACATTGCTCCTAGTAGTAAGGCCAGGAGCCCCCAGTAGCATACTTGCTCCTAGTAGCCCCTAGTAGCTTCTTGTTCCTAATGCTCTCCCCCCCCCTACGCTCCCTGCCTCCCTGTCTCGCTCCCTCCCTTCCTCGCTCACTCACTCACTCGCTCGCTCTCTCTCTCTCTCTCTCGCTCTCTCCCTCTCTCCCTCTCTCGTCTAGCATGTGCCTTCCCTGCTTGAGCCCACACAAATTGAAAACACACAACTGGTTGCCCCAACGAGAATCACATCCAATGGCACCCGCGAACAGTGTGGAGCTCTGTTGTGTGTTGCTTCAGCGGGCATTGCCCAAAAAGGGCCGATACATCCTGATCCAAATGGATGCCGTGAAACCTGCGAGCCTGACTACTTCTTCACCCATCCAACCCCAAAACCCACCAGCCCAGGCTGCCCAGGTGCTGAAGCTTGTTGGGCTCTCCCAAGACTGGAGCCGTGCTGGACAACAAGGGCAGGCCGTTACCCAGCTCAGCAGCAGCCGTAAGCTCCGGCGCACGGTCCTGGTCGCAAGACACCCGTTTCGTGGCCTGTGGAAGTTCAACTGATCGATCCGCGTGCTCAAATGTGTCAAGGTCTTGGAGCAAGATTGGATGATATTATGGATGTGTGCAGCTCTATCCAGGAGGAAAGCCTGCAATATTTGAACTTCGCACATCTTCCTAGAGATTCTCTCCTGTACCAGGTGGTATGGCGGCAGCGGCAGCTGACTCACATCACATTGCTCAGCGGAGTCTGCTTCACCTCGGCAGCAAAAATCATGGTGATTTAGGTCGACCACTCTTCAATTGGAGGGGGCGAGCAAACTAATATCCACGATCTGCTGTGGGGCAATCTTTAAAATTAGAAGCTTTCTTGGAAGAAGGTCGGGCAGTCTCAAGAGTTTGCACCATGAACATCTGGGTCACAACCTAACCGTGACTCCGTGACCTAACCAAAGAACCAAAGCCTATGGCCTATGGGGTCACAACCGCAAAAGCAGCTACAGGACTGCTGCACCACCCGCACCGGCACCGCAGGAGCCAGGCCACTGAGCAGGAGCCGCTGCGCCTGGGAGAGGGCCTCACACAGGGCGCCCAGCGCGGGCCGCCCCGTCTCGCCCTGGCGGTCGGAGCGTCGGAGCGAGCAGCATCCGAGTCTTCAGCTGGTGGATGACATCGAAAGGGGACCAAAAGGGGTCCAAAGTGGATTGCTCAGATGAGATCCACCAAGTTGGCCGCTGGTGCTTGCTTTGGTTGTTGGTCGCCGAAGGCTTGTTGGCAAACAGCCTTCTCAGAATGCAAAGGGCAATCATGCGTGTTCCAGTTCTGCTTCTTCTTCTTCTTCGAGTTCAGTTGCTCCACATTATGCAAAGAGTTTTGTGCCAGTTTCACCTTCAGTTCCTGTAGCCTCTGAAGTGACTGCTCTGAGAGGAACTTTTTGCATTTTGACGACATGGGCTGATCCGATTTCTTTTGCCGGGTGGTGTCGCAGCGGCGCACTCATCCATGCCCATAACAAATGTTGAGATCCACTGGTGTTTCCTGGGCGCATCCAGAACTGGGTTGTTCTAGAGAGAGATCCGAGGTTGTGTTGGGGATCCACTGGTTGTGGTTGTTCCACGGTTTGCTCCAGGAAGTGTTCGTGCACCCGGCCGTCCAAGCTTGGCAGCATGTTGAATGGTGTCTTTGTGCGCGCGCAGTCGCAACAATCTACCCCTCAGCATCTTCCCCAACGCCAAGCCTGCCAAATGGCCGGCAGTTGATTGCACACTGCTGTGTACCTCGCAGCGGCGAACTGCGAAGGGGGCCCCTGATGAAACAGCTTCGGCAAAGCGTCGACGTCTTTGGAATAAATCCTCTGAACATCCGGTGCAGCAAACCAATTGCTCCTAGTAGCGTCCTTGTTACTAGTAGCGATGCCCGGGTCCTAGCATGGATGCCAGGAGCTACTAGTAGCTTCTTGTGCCTGGTGATGTAGCCATACAATCCATACAGCCCACTGCCAACTGCAATCTGTCATTGCTTCCTAGGGCCGATACCCCCGCTGTGAGGCGAACCAATGGCCGGTGCCTTTCACCGCCCCTGGTCTTGCCCGGTGGACCGATGACGCCATTCCATCCACCGAGATGCAAATCCGCCAGCGATCGATGGAAAGCTCCTCCTTCACTCTCCTCGTTCCGACGGCGAGCGAAAAGAACGCCAGCGACTCGCTATAGCTTTCGCTCGCTCGCGATAGCAAGGGCCCGTCTCATGGTGCGAATCCCCACAAAGCCCCACCACCGGATGAGCATGGGATGAGCAAAGCTTCCGGGCTATCAGTATACCATAGTATACCTAGCTGGGATAGATTCAGCATCGAAGCTCCCTGAAACTCACTGGCCTGTCTGCCATTGGCATGCCCATGAGGGAAAGTGGAGGAAAATGTTTGTTTTTACCAAAAGGCTCTGCAATACCCAAAAAATGTTTTGTTCGGGTGTCCTGCTTCTTTGGCCTCTTTGACCCACAGAACCACACGGCCCGCTCTTCGAGCAGTCCTGCGCCTCTGCGCGCTCAGCCAGCTCCGCAGCACGCTGTTCTGCCGCCTGGTGGGCTTCGGTTTTTCGGTGAACGCATGAAGAGCTCAGCTTGGCTACTTGCCATTGGCTATGGAGAACTGGCTACTTAAGCCAGAGTAAGAGATCGATTCCCGACCAGAAATCAGACATGAACAATAGATACTGTCTCACTTTCCATGGGGTGATCAGAGGGCCTCAAGATTCATATCCACAAAAGACTAGATATATATATATATATATATCTATCTATCTATCTATCTATGCTTATTCCAACTGCACTGAGACCTCCACGTCTTGCTGAAGAACCTCAATTGGTCTCCACTTGTCGGTGAAGCCCAAGGCGCCTCCAATTTCGCCGCAAGCTCGATGATCTCCTAGCACCGCAGGGAGCTGAGGCGGCGAAAAGAATCCCCAAGCTCAACGCAACATATATATATATATATATATAGTACCTATTTCATCGTAAGAATGAGGCGCATTCAGTGGGAACAAAGGATGTCAGTATGAAGGCATCCAAAATGAAGGCATCCAATAATGAACACTTCTATTGCAGGAGGTCTCCTCTTGTCCAATGGCCGCCGCCGGGGCGCAGCCGTTGGTGCCGTTGGCCCGCTGGAGCTGCTCCCGCAGGGCCTCGATCTCGTCCTGCATGGCCGCCAGTTGTGCCTGCTTGGGGTCGTGATTGATGACCTCAGCTCCACAACTGGAGTGAGATGGCAACCATCACGACATGGTTGGCCATAACATGAGCACAACCACACCGGCTGAACATCTTATTTCGGGGCCACTCCATGTTGTGCTGGGCCTGGGACTTTCAGGCAACCAACTAGCTTCGTGTATAGACTAGAACTGAACCAAGTGCACACAGGCGGCTGGCTTGTTCTTGATGTTCCGGGCTCGATGGGCATACTTCAGGGTGTTGAGGGTTTCCTCAAAGTCAATATCTGCACAGCTGACGCAGGCGATCATCACCTTGGCTGCCGCTGCATGCGGAGCCGGTGAAGAAATCGACCCTCGGAGCCCAACCTCCGGACCAGCCCAAGCCAAGCCGAGCCCAGTTGCAGTGCGAGAGTTTCCTCCCAAACTATCTTGCAGGAGCCTGGTCAACTTGGACTCCCGGTATGGCACATGGCTGCCTGCAGAAGACGTGCGACGCGTCACCAACCGGCCAAGCCAGAAAGGGAAAACAAACAAGGACGTTGTGTGCGCTTCATCGCAGCTGTCTCAGCAACACACCATGTTTGTTCAGACTCCATGGTTCCGGGCCAGAGCAGGGGGTCAACCAAACACCTGTTCGTTTTCGGTGCGATCGAATTCGACCCCTTCAGACCTCCAACCACCCTCACTCAACCACCCCAACCTCCCTTCCGGCCACCCGGAGGCCTCGCTTGGCAGGATCCCCCAGGGCGGAAATGACGTTTCCCAGGGCCAACAACCCGGAGTTGATTGACACACTCTCCTTGAAGCGACTGCCCACTGCGCCAGTACCTCGGAGCACCCGGTGGGAACGAATCCATCGCACCGGCCATCGGTGTCGGAATGGAGGACAACTTGTCATCCCTTGGCTCTGGTCCATCCATCTGTGTGTTTCCAACCAGCTGTTTACCCAAACGAAAGTTGTGAGATTGTACTAGGGCCTAATTTACTAGGGTCACCGAAAAGTAGACTCAGTAGACGGGCTTGGTGGAGTTTCCCACTTAGCTTCATAATTGTCATCATGTTTACTTATATATCCCCAACCTACACCAGGAGCCAGTCACCCAGTGCCAGATTGAGGCAAAAGACGCTTGGCACGCTCCGAGCCAGCCAAGTCGACGAGATGAAACTTGGCAGTCACATAGTAGTCCTCAATGCATCCGTCTCCGAGATCGCACTTCAGGCGGTTCCGCTGTTCCAGGATGAGCGTAAAGATGGAATGCGACCTGGCAACTGTCGGTGGCATCTGCCAAAGATCTCAATTCAGTCCCACCACCCAACGACCCAACGGTGGGTGAACATGTGCACATGGCTAGTTGGAGAATGCAACTTGCTTCCCAAAACCTTCTCATACATAATTAACATACAATGGATACGTCAAGCAATAGCTGGTGAACCCAACCTGGCTAGAACAACCGCATCTACTGCCGGGTGATTACCTAGTCCAAGAAGGCCCAAGCTTAGCCGTCCTTCCATCAAAACCAAGTCTAAGATGTCGATCTGACCTCAACATCAACCACCGACCGTCTTCAACCACTTGGTGTCACTCAATCTTCACTCGTTTTTCATCTCATTTCACTTCCAAACTGCACCGGAACGCGTTCCGCACCTGGAACTCTGCTCGTTCATCAAGGTGGCGCCCGTGGTCCGCTGCACCGAGCCATCGCTCAGGCACCGGAACATCTCCTCCGCGGAGCGGCACACCTCCGCGTGGATGCCCGAGACCTCGCAGGCGGCGCGGTGGTGCTTTCTTCGGCGGTTGCACAGCGGTCATGGTTGGTCCGTGTGGAATGAAGCCTTCGGAAGTGCGGAAGGTGTCCATGTGTAGGGGGCCGTTTCCGATGTCCACACCACCAAACTAAAGAATGTGATCTGGAAATGTGCGTTCACGATGCGGTGATTGGAGCGGTGCTGGGTGGGCTTTCTGGTCCGGCATGAGGAAAAAGAATGAAAATGGAAGACATGAGACTGGGGTAGCTGATGTGGTTGAGGTTCTAATCGCAAATACCCTGGCCCTAATGGTTCGCCAGTGGCCAGAAACATCCAGGCAACATATTTCTGTTGTGTTTCCGTGGAGGTCACCAGCAGCCTCACCTTGATCCCCCGGCTGGAGCTTCTCGGATCGCAATGAGGCCCTTGCTTCCTGGCGGCAGCGCCATGCAGGACCAGCGTAACAAGGGGGGCCTAGCCGCTTAGCCTGTTTCGTGAGCTATCCAAACGGTGAGGTGTGAGGTGCGTCTGGGGCGGCTTTTTTGAGCGAATTTCCTTGCAACGAGCTGGTCCTCCTGGTTGCAGAAGGTCACGGATATCCTCATTGTAGATCTCCAGGTAGCAGCAAGAAACCTGCCCCAAGCTCGGACCTTGAAACTGAACCCTGCAAAACAAGACTGCACCTTGAAGTCAATGTGTTCCTTGTGCATCTCGATGTGTTGGAAACTATTCCGGATCACCTGGCGATGACGAAGAAATGCATTTTTGGTTGGCATAGTCCGTACTGCCTGCCTGCTTGCCTGCCTAGCAAACTGTTTCCTAACGCTGTGATCCATCTCTCAACAAGTTGTGGGGGCATTGGATGTGAAGAGCAACAATATACGTGGCTTCAACCACCACAACACACCTGCCCAACACACCTGCCCAACCCCGTCATAATCTGACGCCGCCTTTGGCACAATGCCCTCCTCATCGGTTCCTTCTCCCACAGCCGGTCCAGTGCCCATGGTGTGAGTCTTTCCGCTGCCTGGAGTTCGTGGAAGATGATCGACAGAAGGTGGCCACAAAGACGAGAGGAGTTCGGCTTAAGGGACAAACTCAAGCATTCCCATGGTGAAAAAAACGGAACTTGTTAGAAAAACAGATTCCAGCAATCATTCCCATGCATGACAAAATCACTCGAGCAAACATAACCCTCCACTCCTGTCTGCCCATAAGCAAGGACCGTCGCATTGTAGCCTTGCCTCAGCGGCTTGGGTCGGGAAAACGGCTCGAGCCTAAGGGTCTTGGCTCTCGGGGGCCACAGCCCTCGAGGCGTGCAATCCATTTGATCCAAGGCACATGCAGCCCTCCAGCAACTGGGACACACAGCCATCATAGACTTTCAGCTGGCTAGCGTCTGTCTCGTACACCAAGTCGAACCTGCAGCAAGGACGGGTGAACAGCTACAACTCTTCCAACCCAAACATGTTCAAACAACCCATTAGCGATGGCCTCCAACCTATCAGCAAAAACATGCTCAAACAACCTCATCTGCAAAATCTGGATCCGCGGAACCCGCCGAAGTCCCCACACATGAGCTCCCGCACGTGAAAGCTCGTCTGGTGCCGACCACCACCTGGTTCACATTGGGGTGGACCGTGACACAGGAGCAGCAGTTCCTGGCAAGCCAATACAAAAGCCCCCGCACATTGGACAAATGTTTGCCCAGCAATGTAGTGAGAAACACGTCCTTGCTTCCAAAAAACAGAATGGGAGGGCTTTCTCCCATACGTTCTCCCATGGCCATCTCTCCCAAACGGGCTGCGCACGCGGTTTGCCACCCTCTCCGCGCCCTCTGAGCGACCCCAGCTGAGCGGTATCTCGGGGCAGCAGCGGTCGGATCCGCGCAGCAACTCTCACGTTGGTCTCCTCTTCGGCCCCGGCCCTGGGCGAAAAAAGAAGGAAAACCGAGTGATACTTGTGTCACAAATGGTGCCATTGGTAAGCTGCAGAGGAGAGGGAACAGGTATCGAATTTGTTCTACGACCTTTTCCTTCACAGGATGACCACCATGACCTCCAACGAACGAGATTGAAAATAGCGCCCTGTCGCATTGATATGGCTTTGGATCAAAATCGGAGACTCCATGTAGGGCTCCAGGTTTTGACCCATCCTCATATATCTGTGTCCAGCAAATTCAGAGCCTCGAGGCCCATGTTGAGAAAGACTCCCCGCAAGTCAGAACACTACCAGCCAAGCCTTTTGGGTCACCAAGGCACACTTGGGGCATTCCCTTGTCAGCCCATGGCAGTAGGGCTAGGGGTCAATCATCGGCGATTTCTTTCTGTGGAAGGCTCAGGGCTAGGTGCAAATCTGAAGGTCCTTTGTTTTTCCTTCTCAACTTCTCATCTACAACTCTGTAGCCAAACTTGAGTGATACATGACAATTTCATATGACCTGAGCCAGAAATGTACAGGCAAAGGAGCTCCCAATCTCAGACAAAAGGAGTTACTTCGATATCCAACTGAGCGACTGAGCTTTGTCTCAACACGGCAAGTCCTGCTGTCCCAGGATGTCCCAGGATGTCCCGTGATGTCCGATGAAAAAACACGACCCGTTCCACCTGCTCTCCACTTCCCGGATGGGGCACGGCGCACAGAAAGAGGCTCCTCAAATCAAATCAAATGTTCTAAGGCAAGCTCATTGGTTGGAACCTGCATCATCCATAGCCATCTTCAAGCTCAGTGGTGGCCTTCCGAAGCTCAGAGCCCAAGCCCCAAGATACTCAAATTGAAATAAGTCATTTCAGTTCGAGGATATAAACCACGCGTGCACGCAATGTGTTCAGTTGTTCCAGGACCTCCACCCAAACACCGGCACCCAAACAGGAAACGTGCCTTGAGCCATCATCGCCACTCCCACGGTCGCTTCCTGCAGAAAAAAAGAAGCCACGCCACACCCATCGACGGCGGTCGGAGTGTCACTCTGGCGTCGCTCCGAGCCGCTCCGAGCGGTTTTCCCAGCCCTCCTTCTGTGGTCAGAAAGCACCTTCTGACGCTAAAGCTCCATGCATGGTGTAAAGCATGTGAGTCTGTCTTGCGCGTCTTTGCACGTCTTGTTGCAGCGGATCCTTCTGAACTAAGCAGCTTCTATTTACTTGTTGCTGTGTTTGTAGGATTTGCTCCAAAGCTCTTTCTGGAGCTTCAAGCTAGGCTCTGAAGTAATGTGTAACGCAAAGCTTTGCATGGGATGCTAGAGGTGCTTAGATTCTCAGCTTCTGCGTGGTTTTTGCTCATTGGCCCTTTCACAATATATATTGGAGCTTGAGCAGGTGGGACAAAACGACATTGCGTGGAATGCTATTTCTGAGGTCTTAGACTAAAGTATGTAGTCCTATCTGATAGAAGTTGAATTGATTTTCCGGAAGTTTTTGGTTCTGACTCGTGAAGGGCACACAAAAGCTTAAACAAATGCAGAGAAAACCTGTGATTCCCAACGCACAACCCCCCCAAAAAAAAGGCCTAGTGCCCTAGGATCTTTGGTCCAAAGACAACCCCTTCTCAGAAAACCCACCAGTTCCAAAGTCCAAAAGTCAAGCTTTACAGGATGACCTCCCTGTCTGCACGAAAAATCTCCCCAAACGAAAGTCTGCGGGACATCTGACAAACGTGGAAACCATGAAAACCCACCTCAGCATACCTGAGCCACCTGCTCTCACCAGGGCTGGGAGCTTTTCCAACTGCAGGACCCAGCAGCTGGGTTATCAGCGGGTTCAATGTAGCATGTGAACACTTAAATTCTGCCTCTAGGGTGTGATTAGAGGTCTGTGTCTGTCTCTGTCTGTCTCTGTGTCTGTCTCTGTGTCTATGTGTGTTAAGTCTCAAGTTTGTGTGCCTGCTTTTCTCACGTGTCGGCGTTTCAACTTGGAATGATTCATGTTACTCTGCATGCTAAACAGTCTTTCCGCCTCGCTTCAAGCTGGACGTTGACTGCTACTTACTATTTCGAGGTGACTTGATCCGCCATCTGGCTGACTTGTGCTCTAGCACAAGGAACTAAAATGGTTTGAGAGCGCTCCTATGCCTATGCATTCCCATTCCCTTTTCTGCAAGGGCTCCTGGGGTTGTGCTTCACTTCATTTTCCAACAGTACATTTCCAAGTCTCCCAAGCCGATCTGCTGGACCCCAACCGCGTCGATCAACTGAAAAAGTCAAACACACATCGCTCGTGCATGTTCCCCAATGCTCCGCGCAGGTACGGAACATCACTCCGCTGAGCTACTGGGCTACTGAGAACCCCCTCCCAACCCTGCAGGTCCATATCTCATTTGAGTATGAAGCCTGCATCGAACCTATCTACCCTGCACATAGGGTTCGAGGATCTGAACATATCTGAACCCTCAGAATTCAACCATTTCATGCTAGCGGTGCGCTGGACATTCAGGAAATGGATTGCTGAAGCCTCTTAAGACTCTTGAGACCAAATATCAAGGGGATGCCAGTAAAGATCACACATTTCTCATATAGGTTAGGATATCCTGAGAGGTCAAAAGGGGCCGCAATGGAATGACATAGATGCACCATCAAATTCCTCTTTAAAAGCTGGAAGGTCCATCTACGGGTGGCCTCCTCAAGTTGCACACATTGCAGCTCTTCCTTCTTGTTCTCACTTGTTCTTCTTGCCTTTCAAGAGTTGGAAGGGTTAGAGGCTAGAGGCTCAGAGGTTTAGAGCCATACTCAAGTAGCTTGAATATTGAACTTTAACAACAGGCATAGCCATTCCTAGTGGCCCTCCGGATTCTGAGTTTTCAATGAGTCAATCCCAAAGAAGGGGCTCCCTGCTGGGTTGTCGGGCAATCTTCACATTCATCCACGCCTTCTTTCGATCCCAAGAAGTAGCTCCAGCCTTTCCACTGCCCGAGCTTTCCTCAGTGTCACCCAATCATCCTCCGAACCAGAGCACATACATTTCATCTTCATTTTAATCTGCTGCGCGTCCCCTAAGTCTTAGCCATAGCCAAGCCATTTCCCCATTCATCAAGGCACCCCAACAAATGCACTCCAAAGGTCCATAGTATTCATCCGGGCGGGTTGGAATGTATGGGTTCCGCTTCTCGCCCAGCGCAATCCACCTTGGAGAAAACAGGGTGCACGGAAGCCGCACGCCTGAAGCGACTGCCCACATCTAGGTCCAGCTTGCCCCATCTCTCTTCAGAAAACGCTCATCAAACACGGAGTCTTGTTTTGGATCCACGGACGAATCAGCCCTTGGTTTGTGTCCCGTTGTTATGTCGACATTACCTGTCTCCTTCCCATCTGAAGGAATCTGAAGCCTTGATTTGGTGGTACCCAAGCCTCTTGTCATGTTTAGCTGTCATGAGCAAATCTTCACATTTCTGTAGGAGCAATGTTCACGGCAATGGTTTTAGAAGGTTTGCCTGTGGTGTTTATTCCCTTGCCAGGGTAGACTCTTGTTCGCCAAAACTGCTGAAAACTCCAATCAACAGTGCAAGCAATGGAGAGTGTACTTAGAAGTCCTCTGGCCAGATGGGCTGTTCCCTGGAGTTAACCGTGACAGTATGGAACTGCTGTTCCAATTGGACACAGACTTGAAAAACTATTTGAGATGAGAAGGGGAAAGCGTCTTCGGGTCTCAAAAACCAACTTTCACACTTCAACACACTAACAACCCACTACAGCTCAGGGGCTCTTCCCACTCTTGCTGGCTGTCCCAATAGCCCATGGCACGGACCCACTTCACACAGTCTTCAAAAGGCAAGAAGCGCCTGGCAAATCGTTAAACCCTGGAGAAGCAACTGGGAGAGCTGCATCACAAGTTTCTGCAGCCCCCATGATGGCACACTACTAATTAGGCTGCTATGTGCCAGGCACCCACCTCGTCCTGCGGAACAACGCCCTCTTAGCATGTTCCTCCAGCTCTAAGCGGAAGAGCCGCAGGTAGTCCTGCAGCACTGCGATTGTGTTGCCCGCGCGGGCAAAGAACTCCCCGGCCTACTTCTTGGAAAACGCAAGGCGCAGGACTGTATCTATGACTTGGGATAGACGTCCAAGGCCAGTGATCCGTTGCAGTTGCTGATTCGACTGTGACATGTTTCAACCAGGTTCTGGGAAGCACCTTCTCCCAAGGTTTGCCAAAACGAGAAGTTCGGAATGCGGCTGGTCCTTCTCATCCAGGAAAACAAGCTCTTTCTTACCTGGCATTTCGCCAATGGGAGGTTGAGGTTTACGCAAGTGCCATGGCCAAAGCCAACAGTCAGAGTTGGTGGCACCCTGTGGTTGGGCTGGTCTTCTTTACGAAAACCAAGCTGGTATCTTTTGCAACCAAACGCTACTCATACTCTTCTGTCTCCGACACAAAACAACGACCGGTTCGTCACCTTCACCCGCAAGTCTGCTAATGGACCTGCTGCGCGAGGATCCTGAGGACATGCTCTGGCTGGTGGCGGACGGTCTGATGGATGGCAAGAGGTATCACGTAGGTCTGATGAAGCAAAGTTCGAATACTCAACATGGGCGCGGCGCAGTGGCCAAGAATAATGTTGCTCAATGTGGGAATCTCAGGAAAGGTTCGGAACTCTGATGCTTCATTGGCAATGCTAGCATGCTTGATGTCTATGATGGAGGCATTTCAAAAGAAAGTCAATGACACAAACCAGTAGTCTATTGGAAGAATCACTTCACCCCCACAAAGTCTGAGGAGAACATACATTGGGGTGGCCTACGAAGTCAGCGAGCCGCAGTGCGCACCTACGCGCAGCTACGCAACTACAGCCTGCTGGCCTGAGCGGCCCACGAACGTCATGGGGATCAGGCTCACGAAGGCCAACATACCTGAGGTCGGAGGCCACGGCTATCAGAGCAAGGGCATTACTACTAGTAGCTAAAAGTTGCATCGCTTCTAGGTTGGAGGCCTTTGCTATTATGTTGGAGGCCATTGGTATTAGGTTGGAGCTCAGTTCAAAGAGCTTCGTTCAAGAAGGTCCTGGAACATGCTGGCCCAAAAACTGGTTCACCTGGTCCCAGCTCAACTCCCAGGACAGGTGGGCCACTGATCAATCTCCTGGACCTTGTGGACCCTGAGCCACTCTTCAGGGTCCAAGAGGCACATCTTCGCTGCCAAGCTGCAAATGTGAATCCAAGTAGCCCTTGAGGCTTTTCTGACCATGGCACGCTGCATATTCAAATTAAACAAGTGGTAAGTAGACATGACCCGTGCGACATTGCCTTGCTAAGCTGCTAAAACCCTTCTTCCATCCCCATGCGCGGCTGTTCTCATTACATACTGTACCCGCGCATTATGCATGAGAGCCAGCATAATTCATGCACATGCATAAACATCCAGCGACGGTCAAGTTGATTGACACTTGGCATAAAGCAAGCTGGTCCCCAAGTAATTATATACATAGAATCAAATGCTTGAATGGGATTCACTTTGCACCTATTTTGGGGCAGGGCCTGGTTGCGATAGATAGATGGTGCCTGGTACGTGTTCTCATGAAACTGGACACAATGAAGAATCACTATCTAACCATCCTCTGCCCGATGTGACTCTGTTTTTCGGCCAGTGGCACGCTGCAGGTTGGACAGCACCTGGGCATTTGCACCAGGCGCCCATGCAAACCGCAGGCTTGCTGCCACAGAGACATTTGCAGAGATTGGTGGACCACATCCCGGGAACCAAAAAAGAACCTAATTCTACTAGGAGCAAGGGCATCGCTACTAGGGGCTCCTGGCCTTACTACTAGGAGCAAGAAGCTACTAGGAGCACGAAGTCTTTTTGCACTTGATCCCTTGTCAAAAACGAGGGTCCTTAAGGCCTTACACTGTTGACCCAAGTTCCAAGGTGGTTGGTCCACCCACCGATCTTCACTCAGAATCCACATGATACGGTGACCTGCTCTGAGATAGTTGCTCTATGTCGTTACGAACATTGATCACTTGGATTCTGATTGAAGTTGCTAGACTTCCATGCATGTCTGCTTTCGCAGAGTTTGCTGGGTCCAGATTGCCACTGTTTGACAAATTAATCTTCCATGGCGTCATCCTCCAAATCCTCTTCTTCTTCGCCTTCCCCTTCCATCCATTCTTCCTCTTCACCCTCTTCGAAACCTGCAGGCAAAATGGTGAGGTGACAATAAAGGCCTAAATAGCTGACTCTCTCTCTCTCTCTATCTTTCTGTCTTTCTTTCTTCCTTGCTGTACTTCATCTTCTCCAGCACCACATCTTGGAAGTGTGGTTTCACAGCACAATCGGGCAAGAGGAAACAAACACCAATAGGAAACAAACACGACGCTCACCATCATCCATTCCATCGTCGGATTCATCCTCCACATGGTCCATGAGCTCCTGCAGCAACAGAATCTGCGATCGTTGAGATTTCGATGAGGCACAAACATACACGATTGTTTGACCAAAAGAAAATAAACAAATACATATATATATATATACATACATATACATCCATACACACATCTCGCCCGTTTTTTCCCACCATACCTGGCCTACTACTCAACAAAGCTACTTCTTCTGGCACATCCCAAGGGATCCACCATCGCTCCATCTAAACCAACTCCTGCAGCGCGATGCTTGGCCCCAGGCCATGGGAGGGCCACGTGAGGCCTCGAGCTCCCGAAGCCTCACGCCCGCGCAGCAGATCCAGCTGTGCCTTCATCACCTGAAACCGCCCGACGAGGGCGAGGTGAGATGTCCCAACTGCCCGGTGAGGGCACTGGACAGATGGTATATAGGACCAAAAACTGTGTCTTTTGTTAAAGGCCGGAGGGAAAAAAAAAAGGTAGCAAAATATGATGCACAAGAGTAGGTTTCTTTCAGCTTGTCGAATTGTTCAGCATGCTTTTTTTTTGTGCTCGACCGTTCTGATTGGTCTTGACGCCATCGGGTTCTTTTCTGAGTTTGGGCGGCTTTATATAGTCGGGTTTAGGCTTTGTTTGATTTATTGAGTTATATAATCCCAATCCCCCCACTGTTTCACCTTTCCACCAAACTGGAAGATGCAAACCCCGCAAAACATCAAAGCAAGAAGGATCCTCCACTCAAATCCAATATATTCAATAGATTCAATAGATGATCCCACAGTTTTCCGCAAGTGTTGATATTCAAAAAACGATCGCTACGATGAAGATTGAGTTCGTCTGCGCCGTTCACCAAGTCACAGGTTCCAAATCCTTCCGCTCATGTCCTTCCCAGAGGCCACCGCCCTCCAACTGACCCGGAGGCAAACAACTACAGCAGGGGCTGGTGGCCAACTGCTGCAAGAAGAGCTGAGCCGCTGCCTCTACACCTGCGAGACAATGTTTGAAGAAACAAGAAACTGGGGGCGAGGCTAACGTTCCACATGTTAGCCGGCATGTCATGAGTCATGAGAATGAAGCTATGGGAATGAGAGCATGTTCAACAGCAGAATGCAGCAATCTGATGGAAAGACGTGCAGCCCGTGAAAACGCTTCAAGGTGGTGGCATCGTGACGATGAACCATCCGCTTCTTGGAGCAATAAGTTCTTGGACAAGCTCGGCTTGGAGACACCACCTGTGGCCCATGTGACAATGAGGAGCACTGCGGGAAGCCCAGTCGTGCCTGGAACTTTTCCCTTCTTGGTCTTCACATTGAACGCCTTGGCCCAAGCCTTCGAAGGTGACACCAAGCCCAAGAGTTAAGTTCAATCATTCCCTCGTTTCTCAACCGTTAGGGTTGATTTGTACATCTCAAGGGAAGCCACCCGCACAGGATTCGCCATCCATGAAGGTTCAATCTTCGATCCAAGTCAGCCTTAGCTCCTGAAAGGGCCAACACCGATGAAAACCGTCCTCAAAAAGCTTCCGAGCTTGACATATCTCCCCGCATGGCCCGCAAGAGCTTCATCGTTCACCCGAATCCATCCACTTCCGAGCTACTAGGGGCCTGCCCCTCGCAAAAAAAGGAAAAACGGTTGAGTCATCCCCTGTGAGTTCGGGAGAAGGCTGGGGTGTCTGATGTTGTAGTTACAAATCGGAAACCCAACCATAGGGTCCCCCCTGTGAAGTCTACAAATTGCAACCTCCACAGCCCTCAGACAATCATCTGACTTTACAAAATCAAGGATTGATTGATGCAAAAAAGTGTGACAAAATCACAACCCGAGCATCACGAGCTCTAAAAATTGACTTTCAGGAGCCACATTTTGGCCAGATGATTTTGTAGTGAAAAGGATTTTGTAATGATTTGTGGTGGCATGTTCTGATTCTGTAGGGAGATAGTTTGGCATGTTCAGATTCTGTAGGCATGTTCATGTTCTGATTTCTAATCAGCCAAGAGATATATAACAACAACATTTTAGCATATTGTGGCTTGACACTTTTATTCAAGTTGTCTTCCCGTGTCCTTTTGTTGTCAGAACCTGGAAGCAAGAAAATATCATGTGTCAAATCCCAAATCTTCCAAACTGTTCGATTTCTGAGTTCTGATGCTGAAAATGCATGTGTTTTTTTTCTGCTGCATTCTGACTGAGCACCATTCAGGAGCATCATGGAACCTCCTTACAAAATCAAAACACACAAGAGCCGCAGTGCACTCTCTCTCTCTCTCCCTCTCTCTCTCTCTCTCTCTCTCTCTACAGATTCAAAACCCAAGCAAGAGCTTGTGCATTTAGGGCATGCTTCCAACATGCTTGGCCTCTTCTACAGAATCACAACCCAACCTCAGAAGGTGAGATTCTTGGTGCCGTTTCAAGGATCTTTGCCAAACCAGGGTTTGATTTTGTAGAAAATTTGAAAACCAACGTCTCTACAAAATGCCCCCTGTTATGACATCCCGGGGTGTCTCATTTTGTAGTGAAAACTTCAAGGAGGATGTTGAGTCCATGTTCACTGCAGTCGGCCACACGGCGATCCCACCTGCACTAAGCCTTCAGGGCCGTCGAAGGCCGGCAGCCGATAGCGGCGCATGAGCGCCTGTGGCCCACAGCGGGCGACCAGGTGCCGCACCACCTCCAAGGGCTCTGGGCCTGGCAACATCACCAGGCCAAATGGTCCAATGACGTGAAAGGGTGAGGCAAAGCTGAGGATCAATCGGTGGAAACTGGTGACATATGACCTTCAGGAGGCCTTGAGCACCAAAAACATTTTTCTTCGTCTTGTTTTGTGAAGATGCTGCTTCTTCTACAGAGCTGCTTGTTCGACTACGTCAGGCCAAGTCATCGGAACATCTGAAGGACACGAACTCCGAACATTCCACGAAGCCCAATCATGCTCTCCACCCCACAAACCCCCACAACTCCTCAGATCTACCCAGAATCTACCTCCTTCTGCCGCCTGCTTCACGTTTCGACAGCAGCCCCCGCATGGCCAGGTGCAGCGTTGCATTCAGCGCCTCCTCGCCCTCAGGGTCCTCTGCAGGTCTCAGGCGTCCCACCGACTCCACGAGCTGTGGCGACGTCGCCCCGGCGGCTTCGCGGCGCAGGGCCTTCAGCAGCGACTTCCTGGGTGCCACGGTGCGGAAATTGGGCAAAGGGGTGGGAGACGGTGAGAGATATTCTTCTGACTTGCAAGATCTGCTAGGCTACCTGGACTATGAGTCTGGAGGTCTTGCGTTTTGGTTCACCACTGTGAGAACTCCAAGCCCAGTAGCGTCCCAGCATCTAGTCTTGTCCAAGCGTCTTGCCAGTGCCTTCGTAGCCTAGAACGCCGACAGTTGGGCCCTCGCCCTCACTGGACTTGCGAGCACCCAGCATGTGAAGCAACTCCTTAACTCCTTCACCACCCGCTTCGACCTAGGAACCAAGGGTCAAGGAAATCTTCGGCAGTTTGGCCGCAAAAACAGTAGGCCCGCGGAGGGCCCGATTCCGTCCTACCCCTGCCCGCGTGATAGAACCGGAACATTGGAACAAGTTGGTTTGTATTTTTGTTGACGTTCCGGGGGAGGTTGGAGTAGGGGGTATGCTTCGAAGGTATGCTTCGGGGTATGCTTCGCGCAGTGTGAAGACTATAGTCGTGTTTTCAGAGGGTATGCTTCGGGTTCTTTTTCGGGGTATGCTTTGCCTAAGTCGAACATCCCAGCCCTACATAAACTGGACACGTTATTTAAAAAAAAATCTCCGTGTTTTACGGTGCTGATGTCCACATCAGGCAGGAGACCTGGACACAAGCTGCTGGACCGACCTGGCCAAGTGCATGTTGCCAGTCCGCAGCTTGTTGAGGTACAATTAAGTCAACCTTTGTCAGGACAAAGATCAGGCGCTTTTGATTCCTGAGGCTGGAAAAAGCTGAAAAGGATACGATTCTGATGCCAACTGTGCTAGACTGCCATCACTCTGATCACGCACGAGTAATGCACGCCATGCAACAGACAGCATACTCGTTTTTAGGAAGTGCGCCAATTGCTCGCACAGAAAACTGTGATTTTGGCCAAGCGTCTGTTTGACCCAGGCTTCCAACTCCGCACATCTGCAGTGAAGTGGATCTCTGGCATCTAAAGTTATCAGCAGGATGTCCGCTTTCCTCAGCTTTGTCCCCCAAACCGCATGGTGACCGGTCCGTTCTACCCAGACTCGACCGGAGACCCTCCGAAGTCCCGCCGACGGCCCAGCTCGGCCCCGCTCGGCACCAGCAGAGACCCACACCTCCCTCTCTCGTGTCTGCTCCCAGTCCGGGTCTCTGCAGCATCCTTTGCAGCGCCTCCAGCTGAGCCATTAGCACGTCTTCCGCGCGCTTCTTCCGCCGCTCGGACTCCTTCTTCCGCTGCATCTCCTGCGCGGCATCTCCGCTGGGGACTGGGACTGGGCCGAGGGAAGGTCTCACCCAACTGTCCTTGAAGTAACAATGCGCCGTATATTTGTAACAAGGGCCCTTTCACCAGGAAGACATTGGTGCATACATACTCAGCGCATAGTAATTCAGGAACCAAGTTGAAGACTATCACATTGCCAGGCTTACTTCCAGCAATGTCAGACAATGCCACTGGCAAGCACCATCCCAGCCACCAAATCCCCGTCTCCTCTGCATCCTTTCGCTGCTGTTGCCGGTCAAGCTTGTTTTTCTCCTTGACCTCGCTCTGAAACAGAGTTCTCCAGCTGTCCATGTCTTAGATAAAAGTGCGGGTTTCGGCTGCCAAAGAAGTATCGGTCAAGGCTGGCCTCCTGCTTCTTCTTGGCAAGTTCTTCTTCCTTCTTCGCCTTCTTCACTTCGATCTCTGCCAAAAGCTCACCCTGCCATTCACGGGTGCCGCAGTTGATGGATGTATGCATGTGCTTGAGCTTCGTCCTGCCAATGTGCCTTCTTTCAGTGTTCAATCATGGTCAGAAAAGAGAAAAGTCCAAGCTTGTCAACACTCAGAAGTAACTTGGCTTCACTATGGAGTGGGGGATAGCTAAGGCCGCTATCTGAGAGGCCCAAGGCTTCTCGGATGGACACTTGCGCTCAGGCCATCCCTCTGGCCTTCCATGGCAGGCTGTTGGGGATACCTGACAAGTTTCTTGGGATGCAATTCAAGCCGAATTGATCAGCGCATATCCAAAAGGGTTCAGTGCATTCGGTCAATACTGAATGCAAGGGGTGCAGCATGAGGCGACCCGATTCGCCAAGTTGCCAGGATCTTTTCTGATCCGCTTTTTCAATCCAAGCTTTTTGGCTTCCTTCTTGACTCGTCGTTTGTGTTCACGGATGCGCTTCTGGATATTGTACCTAAGATAACAGATCACTCAGTTCACGGCTTCCTCCTGTACACCCAGGCACACAAGAATCCTCGCCCAGGTGCTTTAGACTGAGCTTCTGCTTCTTGCTCTTCCTGTTCCCCTGAAACACCAAAATATCCACGAGCAGCTTACCCGAAGTTGTGGACGCCAAAACTCTGGGGCACCCACGAGCAGCTTCATGGGGGCCGAAGGATGGTAGCAGAGGACATCCCTTGAGCCAAACGGTGTTCCACCGAAAATTCCCTGGCGAAAACAGGTCCGACACGGACTCGGTGGGATCGTTGCGTCTCCACGAACTCTTCCGACGTCTGGACGTCGACGAAACTGGCCGCACACGTGTAAACTCCTCCTGGGACACGAGCGTTTTCCCCGCCGTCTTTCTCTCCAGAACGGCTACCGACCTTTGCGGCAGTCATAGAACGGTCACTTGGCCTTGGGAAGGTGGATCAGCCTCAGAATCAGCTGCTTATTGTTCTGCTCCGAGGAGAGTTCCACAGACCAGTAGGGTACGATGCAAAAGGTCACACCACGATCATCATTGTCCAGAAACTTCCTGAAATGCGATCTGGGGCAAAGATGTCAACACCGAATCAGAAAAGCCCAGCACATCCAACTGGTACTGAAAAAGTTCTGTAAGACTCTTGGGCCAGAAAAATCCAAAAAGAACTCTCCTCCGCTCATGCCTGACCAAGCCTCTGCGCCAACATCCCAGACACCATCGCCCGGTGCACTGCCGTCGACCCCATGGCCCGCACCAGCGGATACTTTCCATGACCTCCGCCCTGCGGGCGCAGCGCGCCCGCCATGGCGGCCGCCGCCTTCGCCGGCACCGTGCCGTTCCCCACGAGGAGGTCCGTGGCCGCGACGTCTGGACCAGCGGCGGCGGTGTTCGGCGAGGCCTTGAGCTCGCTGGGGGCCACGTGGAGGGGCAGCACCCGCAAGCGGAGCTCGCGGCCACGCTCCGAGGCCTCGCCTGAGAGGTTGGGGAGGCATTAGATTCCACATGTTCTTGAAGGCTGAGCCATCTGGTCATAGTAACAAGGTGGGTAGAACATGAAATCTATGCTGCGCGTTGAATTTGAATCCGATGGCCTTGGGTTCATAGAGGCCCGGGAGGCACACAAGGTTGACTAGCTCACTCACACTTGAGGCAGAATGGAATCTTCAAACAGAAGCACGCCCTCTAATATCCTGAAAGCTTCCACATGCAAAAATGGAAGCCCTGCAGTTCGAACTTGCACCCGAAACACCCGCTGATTTCTGCTAAGGGGCCTTTACCTTCTCTCACTTGGAAGCCCAAAAATCGCTCGGGCGGGGCATCGGGGTCATGGCTCAAATAGCCCATCGCATTGACCAGCGCCTTCACGAACTGAAAGGCGGCTTTGGCGCCAATGCAGCCTCAGGATGGCGCCAATGCGGCCATGATGATGGACATGTTGGGGATGGGCGGCTGAGGCCGACCGGCGGCCTCCGACCCGAAACCGTAGATCTCTCCAATCCTGATATGGGTGTGTCTGTCTTGATATGGACGATTGAACTCAGCCACTGAGAGTTCAGTCTGCCTTTCCTTCTGCTGATCCTTTTCGGTGCATTATGGGGACGCTATCCACATCTGCCCTACACAATGTGAGGCCTCAGGCCTCAATCAAACACCTACCAGACCTACCAAATGGCACTAAACTACGCGCAGCCATCTCAGACCCTGCCAGGTAGCGAACCGATGTTTCCCCATCCTGGCTGAGACTGGAAGGTCTATCTACCTATCTATCTATCTATCTATCTATCAACCTGCAGCTACTGATGAACTGATCCACTTGGGAATTGCGCGTATGTACAAAGTTAGGGGGCGGGACAATTCTGGCCCCAATGCCTTTTTGATACAAGAATCCCGGCCAAGCCTGCCGGATGCGAGCGGCAATGGCCCCGCCCAAGCGGGCCACATCCGAAACCGCTGTGGCTGTGAGCACCTCACCTTGATGCATCCATGCTGCGGATGCATTTATCAAGAGAAACAACCTCAAACCTCCAGATCTTGAAAGCTTAAAGCACAGATCACTGCTACTGCTACTGAGCATCCACCAGTGGAATTAAACCTGATGCCAGCCAGGGAAGGCCCAGTGCTCTGGAAAGTTCGGCCAAGCGTAGTCACCCCACCTGCCACATGGCCATTTGGCTCCATGATGGCCTGAACCTTTCTAACGAACATGTTTTGGCCGCAAGCCGAAACCGCAGAACAAATCACTTTGAGCATCGGAAAGGGCCATGGCCTCTTGCTAGTGGCCACGCATACCGCCAAATCGGCATGGCTACCTGGGAGAACGTACACCGAGCCTGTGTTCCCTTTCCAAGAATCCAAGGTTGAAGATGAGAAATGCAATCCTTAAGGTATTTGCAGACATCTGCGTGCTAGTTTAGTTCAGACCAAGGCCTGGTGACACTCCTCTTCACTTCATTCTCTTGCCATCTCTGTCACTTGGGCCAAAGGCTCTTGTTTCAAGAAGTTGCCCCGGAAAAAAGACTCCTCCACACTGAGGCCCTTTCATCATGAAGGGGTGAGACATGGCGCAGCTGACTTTTCGAGGGCTCAACGGTGGCACTGCAAGTGGCTCATCACCTAAGTTAGAAGTAAGGCGCTCTTGATTTTGCCAGACGTGCGTGAGCAGTCCTCTCATCACCTGGAGCTATTTCTGGGGGCCACCCAAAAACGGCGCTTGACCCGCCGGGCATCGGCAGATCGGCGGGACTTTTCGCCAAGCCCTTTCAGCTCCTTGAGCTCCGGCCGATATGAAGAGTCTTGCAACGGCTGCGGTGACAAGAGTGCACATGGAACCCAACTCCAGCTCCAGGGCATGCTGGCCATCATGTGGGGCAGAATCATCACGGCACCTTCAACTTCTCAGGCCCTGTGAATGATGGATTCTCGAGGTGTCCATTCAACTGAGGTGAACGAAACCAGCTTGAAAAACTCCAGGAATACCACGCAGCAACCCTTCGTCATTCTCCTGTACCAGAATCACTCCGCCGTCCAGCAGCTCAGAGTGATGCAAATTCAACTTTATCTGACCATTCTCCAGCAAGCTGTGCAACTGCCTGGGTTCAATCACCAATCTTTGTCGCAAGCAGCACTGACTCAAGAACTCTGCTGCAGCAGCCGTTGGCCTCAGTGAGCAACCCCAGCGCTTCACTTCCTCACTGCTGATGCAGCGCTGCAAAAAAGGAGCTCCGCACATGCTGTGGCGCAACTGCTCAGGCACGCGTACATCGAAAACACTGGGAGATACCAAATATAGGTTCTGCTTGTCAGCAGTCCTGTAGCCCAAACTTCGGTATGGAAACTCCACTTGGCCCACTCCGGAGCAAGCTGGCAGATCGTCGTGGGGCAGCTCCAAGCCATAAAACTCGGCGAAGCTGAGCACCGCCTCCGGGATCTTCGCACAGCGCTTCACTAACCTGGACGCTGAAGCGCTGACCCTGGAGGTCACCATCGGTCCCGGTGTCTGTCTACGGCGCAGGTGAAGGCGCCAGCCCAGCAGGGAGACGAGGAGGCTGAGCAAGAGAAGTCGTGGACGTTGGAGGATGATCCGCTGGAGGACACGCCGAAAGGCCAGGAGGAGAAGACCGGAGATTCCCAGCTTCAGTCGAAGAAGTTGACTGAGCCGGTGGCTTGCATCTTCTATGTCCCCCAACTCCACATGGTAAGTGGTCCGGTCTGGGTATCGGATTTTGATCAAACCTTTGAAAGCTTTCTGGCCGGGACCCACCACAATCGCAGGGTCACCGGTGGCTCTGACTACAACGTTTGACCCACGCTTGAAGCCATCAAGCGTTGCGCTGTCCGGGCCTTCCGAATCGGACGCAAACGCTTCATCCGCGACCTTGTCAAAGAGAGCGACGAAAAGAGCTTCATCGAGGCGCTTGGCGCGCAAGCAGCGGCTCAACTGCGAAGTCACTTCTGCCTGTGTCTGGCCCGGTGGAAACATGGTCTGCAAGATTTTGCCCCCTCGCATCTGCCGAGGAACTTCTTCCCAACAGTTAAATGCCAAACCCAACTTGTTCGGATTGAGGACTGGCCAAGCCTGCATCGCATCCAGGGAGGACCAGCCTGCATGCAGAGGCCATGCTACTTGCACAAGCCGGATATTCGGCTGTGAGGTCAAGGCCGCCGCGACGACCTTGGAATAGGACTACCATGCTACATGAGAGACTTCGAGACCCCCCAAAACAAAAGGTGGTGAAGAAAAAGAAGAAGGAGAACACAAAAGGAATGACGCGGCAACCTCCCCACCTAAGAGTGGGGGAAATGGATACCAACTCCTTCCTCCAGCCAGGCCGCCGCCTCATTCTCCATGGCATTCTCGGAGCTGGTCATGTACAAAAGCCGGCCACCGGGCGCCAAAAACCGCAGGCCCCGGCGCAAGATCTTCAGCTGCAGGGGGTGCATATGCCAAGCCTGAAGCTTCTCCGAGTCATGGCTGGAACTCACTCTGCACAAAACCCGATCGAACTGCACCACACAGGGGAGAACACGACTGGAAGCCATGTAGATCTGCGGGAAGCTCTGCGGTGGCGACACGGTGAACACGACTGGGCCTCGGAGCTTCTCTGGCACCGTGGCCATGAGCGGCTCCAGATCTTCCGGCCGAGCGGCATTGGCGAAGAGAAGACCTTGTGGCACCTGCCAGGGCTGGGCCGCCCAGACCTTTCCACTCGAGGACCTGGCACCATCCTCTTTGGTCAAGAGCCTTTCGTGCAAAGCTAGTGCCAAGTCCTTGCAGGAAGAACCTGTGATGTCAAGAACCCGATGGTGCGGTAGGACATCCAGCAACGGCACTGGGGAGAAATCCATGCTCGTGGCATTCTCACGATTGAGCCAAATACATCCCAATGTATGCAGGGGTGCCTCAACTGTCTGGTCTCTGGCGAACAAAAAGGATGCACATTGAATTTGTGACCTCTGCATCCCAAATGGTTTGCATCAAAACCAAGTCTCGGAGCTGCGCACCCTTTTCGTCTAAGTCAGGGCAAAGAATTCAACGGCATTGGAGGTGGTAGCTTGCGCCACGTGTTCAGGAGCCACCTGCGTCAAGACTGAGAACACGGCCGCAAACCTCCAAGATCAACCAGAACCACCGACGGTCCTACCCAAAATCTTACAACCCCTTGCTATCCATCTAGAAAGGCCAAAAACGGACGTCCTGGCCTTGAGACACTCGGCAATGGCACGGCAAACGGCTGGCATGCTGCAGGGCTCATTCTTGCCTCAGCTTCAGATGGGTGTCAATTTGGTGTATACCTATGCAGAAAGCAGCTTCATGGATGAGAATGCAAAATGTTTGGCCCTGCTTGCAGGGATCGGCATTGGGCAGCTTACTTCAGGCCATGTCAATCGCGACCATCGTTTTCCAGAAGCTTTGAAATCAGCCAAGTCACGCCCAGCAATTCCCAGTTTATCTGGTAAGTACTCCTTGTCGGGTAGCATGAATGGACAATCTGTCCTGAGCTGGAGAAACGAACTCTGGCTACCAGGTGCACGAAGGATTGTCTACTCTTGTGGTGGGTGCTGCAAGAAAACCGGTTTGACTTTGACCACAAATACGAAGTGTTTTGAGAATCGATTGATGATTGGTTTGCATGACCTGCAATATCGGAGCCATTTCGACATGATACTCGATCATCAGCTGTTGTAGTGGCAACGCCCCCTGCTCCAGCAACTGACGAATGTGTGCCCCACGTTTCTTCATACCAGCAAAGCCGGTCAGTCCAATGAAGTAGCCTTCCAATGGCAAATATTTCAGAATCAGTTGTGGCGTGGCCATGCAGCCCTGACTCATGTACATGCACGTGTACACATACACACACACACATATATATATATATATACACACATACACGCACACTTCTTTGGTATATGCTTAAGTTGTCTAAACCGCTTAATTCATCTCTAGTGCAACTAATGGAATAAAATGTATAAATAGCCTAGTCGCAATTCTTGGGCTTTCCAAAATTGCGCAAGAAAAAAATATAAAGCATCTCCTCTATCATAACTCCACATCAATGAAGTGAAATTTGGCTGAGGTCATAGTCATAACTCCTGATCGACGAACAGTGGTGCCCAAAGTGCCTGCGGACACATATTGCCGCAAGTCTTCTCCATTGCCAGTGAAGCAGTGTATGCAGACCTTCTTTGGGTCAACCTGAGGGAACATGTTCAACCTCAACACAACCTGCTTAGCCTAAATCTCACTAGACAACCCCTGAACCCCTCCGTGGTGGTCAAAAAAATGGACTTTCAGGCCCACTGCCCACCTTGCTTTCTGACAGAATGCGCCGGAGATCCACTGAGGATCCCAAGGGCCTGCCCTTGTTGGAATCCCTGTCCCTCTCATGGAGGAACAAAGGCATGCCCAGCTCCACTGCCAAGTCCACCTGTTTCCGGCACCACTCCAACTGAACCTCTCGCGGAGAAAACATGCGGTCGTAGTCTAAACCTTACGACATCTGGTCGTCGCGAGGAGCAAAACAAGAGAAACTCCATGTAAGGGAGTGGAGTTTAGCTTTTGGGATCATTTGGGATGCAGCAGGGGGATCTCCAAGAAAGATCAATTCGGCATCTCTCCCACTGAACCGCCAGAAATTCAAGAGGCCGCACTCCCCAATGGATACGCATCCAGGTGCAGCTGCCAATTCTCTCAGCACCGCCATGGTGTTGGAATCGCAGCTCTTCGCGTCGTGGGGGTGAACACCCGCCGTGAAATTCAGCTGAGGCAAGCGATCCAAGCTCGTGCCCTCGATCCTCGGATCGACACGACTCCGGAAAAAAAGGAACGGACGAAAATGACAACAACCGACTCCGCCAGTGTTTTCTTGAGACCTCCCATTTCGACCCCCGGGAAGAAGAGAAATAGATTAAATAGACCCAAACCCATTGGTTGGAGGGTTGGTTGGAGGTCCATTCAAACACAGAGACACCAGGCTCATGGCGTCCAAGATGCTCATGGCGCGCAGCCGCTCCCACACACTTCATGATCTTCTCCCAAGCTTCACCCCCAGTCCACTGCTCGCAAATGCGCCGCGCATCCCGCGAGCCCTTCACGCTGCCTTGGGACCCAAAGTGGTGTATGGTGTTTGGTGCCTGGATGACGCCTTTCTCCTCGAGCACCTACCTGCCCTAGAGTCACAACCATAAAGAAGAACGATAACATCCAACAAACTGTCACGGAGACCAAGGCAAGTCGCAGCCGGTGAGGATCACGTGATTCACTTTGGCAGCTGCAGCTCGCACCAGTTGCGCCGCCAGATCTTGCTCCGAGCATTTTCCCAGGTTTGCCCCAATGTCCACCAGATCACATGGAACTGCAAAGGCCTGCAGGGCGCCAAGGCACAATGGCCCTGCAGACATCTCGTCTCGACCTACGCTTGGAGTTCTTTGCTTTTTGCTTGGTTGAGCAACTGTCCAATACTCTGCACCTCTTTGACCTTTCTGGCTTTGCAGGGATCTCAGCCAGTTTTGATATGCACTATCAATGCCCATCTCCGAGCAGCCATCCCGAATTAGTTTCAAATACCTCTCAGGGGGTGGAAGACTTCCGGCGAGCTTCCACTCAGGAGAACTCACAAAAGCCTTTGCAGCAATCTCGCGACCATCATAGGCGGAGACCAGCACATCAGTGGTGCCATATTCGTACTCCATCGCAGACAGCTTTTCAAAATCCCGGGCACTTAAATGCAGCAGCATTCCATGAACTTCATCAGGGCCACGATTCGTCAGCGCTGGTGAGTCCAAGCGCTCGATATTACCCATGCCACCCTTGTGATTGAAGGTCAGTCGCCAACCTGGAAGTCTTCCACAGACCTGGTCGATGGGTATGATCTTCCGTCGCTCACGCAGTTTCCACGGGTTGATGTTCGCGCCGAAACCAAAGTACCACAGGCTCTCTGCGCTCGTTGCCGTGCTCGTGGCCGCAGCATCTGCAGGTGCAGCCGGTTCGCCTCCTTTCCTTTGCCAACGTGAAGATCTGGCGACATAACCACTTTGCCACCCCGGTTCCCAGTGGCGCGCGTCAGCTGGCGCCCAGCGGCGCATGAAACAGCCTCGGTATACTCGACTCAAGCCCTTGAGTTTCCCTTTCGGACCGCCATTAAGAAGTGTCAAGTCGTCAAACCTACCTAAAAGAACTACCCTGGTGTCTGCGACAAAGGCACTTGGACTTTGACGTACTGAGCTAGGTTTAGGCGTCCGGAATCGCAAGGTGCAAAGGGCTATCAATAGCCATGGAGTTGAAGGATGATGCATCGTTTGACTGTGAAACATTGCGGGCATCCACGACATTCCAGCACGTGAAATGCAACCGTTAGTGTCGCAGAAATACTCTCAAAACAAAGAATTCTGCACATGAAACACAACTAGGCGTTCTCATGAGCACTTATGTTGTCAGGAGTGTGCAAGCCACCAAATCTGCAGACTTTCTGACTGTTTTTGACGGCGCACTACGCACCTGGTTTAGCAACCCTCCACCACTTCTCTACCCTTTTCCACAACATCGACTGAGAGTGCAAAGGACTCATGACATGGAATGTGGAATGAAACCCAGCAACCAAATCAAGTTTGATGTAGGCAGTGAAAGCCGCCGCTTGGCGGCGTGGCCTTTCCAAAAAAAAGAACTCATGAAGTGGATCCGACAACATATGAACCATTTTCTTTGATTTGAGATTCCAACGAACCTGGCACAACTGTGGTGGAGGCAGTTGGGGGGTTAGGTACCGGCCTAGGCCCCTTACCTCTCAGGTTTAAATGTTCTGAACCCTGACACTCCCCACCAAAGCCTCCTTCCAGTTTTTCCCATGTTTGATGCCACGTTGCTTTCTATGTTGTCCACCTTTGTTTCAGCACACACAGTGGACACAAAATTGTTCAACACACCCCTGTTTATAAAGGGCGTGGATTTAATTTATGATATTTTCGTTTTTTTAACTATTGTTTTTGTTTTTCGTGTTTCGTGGCAGGTGCAGTACTTTGTAGACCTCGAAATGCACATTTCCTGGCAGGTGCAGGACTTTGTGGGTGTTGAAGTGCGGATTTCGTGGCAGGTGCAGGACTTTGTGGATGTTGAAGTGCAGATTTGGTGGCAGGTGCAGGACTTTGTGGGACTTGGGGTGCACATTTCGTGGCAGGAGCAGGACTTTGTAGACCTTGAAGGGCAGATTTCGTGGCAGGTGCAGTGCTTTGCGGGCCTTGAAGTGCAGATTTCGATTTAGTGGCAGGTGCAGGACTTTGTCGATGTTGAAGTGCAGATAAACAGATAGAAAAATAGACAGGTAAATGGATTGATAGATAGATAGATAGAAAAGAAAGAAAGATAGATAGATAGATAGATAGATCGAGAGATAGAGAGATAGATCGATATAGACAGACAAATGGATAGGTAGACAGATTAAAATTGGAATAGTGTAAGTGTGAGAGAAAATTCTGCCTATCACAACAGTTTGGTGCAGTTAGCAGAAAAGCAAAGAGAAAGATTTCGTGGCAGGCGCGGGTGGTGGAGATGACGTGCAGATTTCGTGGCGCGGGGGGGGTTGGGGGGGCGCAGCGCCCCCCAGCAGCACACCAGATCCAAAGGTGAGCAGCTCGTGCTTGCTTGCTTGCCTGCTTCCTTGTTTGGTTTCTTCTCTGCAAAGCGAACAAAAGGAAAAGCAAAAACATAAAGGAGAACAGCTGCGAAAGAGGAAGAAAGGAAGAAAGAAAGAAACATAGATAGATAGATCGAGAGATAGATAGATAGATCGATAGACAGACAAACAGATAGATAGATATAGACAGATAGATAAAGACAAATAAATGGATAGGTAATGAATAATGATAGGTAGACAGATATATCGACAAAAGCCATAGAAACCACGAAAGTCACCAAAGCCAAAAGCCACAAAAGCCACAGAAGCCACGAAAGCCAAAACAAAAGCCAGAAGCCACGAAAGCCACGAAAGCCAAAAGCCACAGAAGCCACGAAAGCCACGAAAGCCAAAAGCCACAGAAGCCGCGAAAGCCAAAAGCCACAAAAGCCAGAAGCCACAGAAGCCAGAAGCCAAAAGCCACGAAAAACAAAAATCCCTTAAGAAATTAGAAACTAAAATAAATCGCCCTCCGTTTATAGAAAAGTCGCCAGGACTTGCCGCGGAAAAAGGCGTGCCAAAAAATAACCGGATGTACAACAAAGTTTCGACAAATGCAAGCTTGTGTCGTGTAGAGAAAAGCCTGTTTGCAAAAATGTATGCGAGGTTGCATGTCGAAAGGCCCGCGCACGCCTTCTCGAAAACATTTGCGCACTGCCCAGCACTGCCCAGTGCATCTTGTGCAAAGCCAAGGCACGAAGAAGGTCTGATCGAATTAATTAAGTGAAATGGAACGGAAAAAAACTTTTACGCGCCTTCCTGACCGAGTGCCCGTGTGGCACCTCCGATGTCGGAAAGGAAACACGCTAGGCTGATCCAGCAAACTGACGGTGAAATTGAAAAACGAACCGGCATTAGGGTGAAACAAAAAACAAATGAACGCCGTGAATAGCAAGTGGGAGAGTCCTCAGGCATGTAAGTCTCAAATAGCGGATGGGTCGAAAGGCTGGTGAAGGTCATGAACTGTAAAAGGCTTCCAGTGACGCTGCGACCATAGGAAGAAAGGGGCTGCTGGGCGACGCCGACAGAAAACTAGGTTACAATGAGCAAGGGGGGTGGAACAAGAGATCAAGAACCAGCAAGCGTGAAGGGGACTCGCTTCAAGGCCAAGAAGATCAAGTGGAGGCCATTGTGAGCGCAACAGCTGTTGGCATGTCGCATATCTCACTGTACGAAGCGCAAGAAACTGGAAGCACAGGAACCGCTGGAGGAAAGAGCGGCAGGTGCGAAATAGGAAAGAACCAGGCGATTGATGCCAAGAGTATGCTGAAGCGCCCGGTGCTGGTGAACGTGTGACGCATGCCAAATCCAATCAATGTCATCTCAAAGTTCCAACTGCGAAAAAGGTAGAACGGCAAACGAGGCGTCCGTGATCATGGTGGGCGACAACAAGGAGGGAGCGTCCAAAAGCTCTTTGAGCCGCTGACGAGGATCAAACAGCAAGCTCCAGTAGATGCTCGCATGCTCCAGGGCATCACATGCCTGGCCACCACTTTGCGCTTCTGCGCCCAACGAAGAGAGCAACTCTTGGCGTCTTCATGCTGCGCCAGTCCAACACATGATATGCCCCTTCGGGACCATCAGCCTGCAGCAGGGACTTGTTGACCAACAAGGTCACATAGCCAGCTTGCGAGGCTCCATCACTGCGGGCGGCGAATGCAGCATCAAAGAAACATACCAAGCAAAGCTCTGAAACTTCGCCCAGGTGGCTGTAGTGGAGGCCCACATCAGCGTTCTCCTTAGCGAAACGCAGCAAGCGGTTGGTGTCGGCTACTGTCTGCAACGTGGCCTTGGTGACATGGCCACTCAAAATGGAAGCGCTGCTCTGTAGATGCGGACTGCTTTGGACACCAGGCCATTGCAATGAACCAAGAAGTCCTCTCAGTTGCGTCAGCTCGCGCTGATTGAGCGTGTCAGTCAGGCTGCGCTTCTTGTCATAGGTGATCGGTTTCGCCTTTCCCATGTAGCTGGTCTGGTTGAGAAGGAAGCCATTGTCCTGAACCTTGATGTCACAACCGCAGTAGGTCAGGGGCTTTCCATCGTCGCCAGTCTTCCATTCACGGAAGTTGAAGGTGCCCTTCAGCTTGGTGATGGTGTCATTGTAGCACTGGGAGTTTGGAGAGCCACACCCAAGCACGTCATCAACATGCATGATGACCATACCACAAAGACCATGTGATCCGAGCAGGTTGGAATGCTCAGCAGTGGCGTCATACTCAGGGTTGAGATCACCTTCATACATTAGAAAGCAGCAGGGGTCCTGAGGGTGTTGTCGCAGGCCCATAGCACGCAACTTGTCAACTGCAGCCATGTACCAAGATCTTGGTGCATCGATTTGACCGTAGCAAGGTTTGAGGAGCAGCATACGAGTGTCAGCTGTGGCCCCAAGCAACTGTAAACACTCTTGAGGAACCATTTGTGTGTCTGTGGCTTTCCTTGTAGAAAAGCCGTGGCAATGTCCGAGGTCCAGATCGGCCACTGCATGGTGGAGGCCAAACTCAACAACATTGACCTTGACAACCTGGTGGTCGTGGGAGATGAAGTCGGGACAGTGCCTTCCCAAGCATCAGGGTCCATGAACCCACGCACAATGAGTCTGGCTTTAGCCCGGGGACTGCTTCGACCATTTCAAAAGCATCCGGCTCGTGAGTGTCCGGCTGGGCTCAGCTTCCCGCGTGGTCTCAAAATGCCACACATGGTTGTCGAAGAATGACTGGAGTTCTTTAACCTTTG